ATAATTAAGAGCTGACCTGCATTTGTTGGCTAATCACAGCTCGTTGGACAGTCGTGCCACGCACATTTTATTTGGTCATTTGTGACAATCACCAAAAAAATAACAAAATAACGATATAGCTAATGGCGATTAACACACGCACTTTGATGATATTATTCAAGTAAGTTTGCAAATTGAGTTTTTTTAAATATTCTCTGTTGCCTTAAAAAACCCACATATAAGTAAAATAAAACTTACATAATATTAAACATGAAGCAGTTTATAAATTGACATTTCAGCCAGCTTCTCATATGTGACTAAGATAACTTAATTCCAACCACCAGTTAAATTGTGCAAATGGTTCGTTTAAACCGTTGACAATATTTTAAAACGCTTTTAAAGCAGATTAAAGTTTTTCGCCACCATAAACAGAATATGCTCCATTAAAATATATGCTTAACGCTGACAATCAAACTCACCATCAGTTGTATTTACATTTCATTTGCAATATGGAAATCCATCAGTTAAACTGATTTCAATAAAGCCCATTTTTAAGGGATTTACTTGAATTTGCATTAAATATTTATGAATGTGTTGGCAAGTTCATAAATGAAGGCCCACACGGTGGAGGCCCTGACAGTTCGGGACAGGTCAAAAGAGACGACTGTGGCCGTCTGTCATCCCGGCTGCTGACAGTTCCTTTTGCCGGCACATAGTTCACAGCTCACGGCATGTGACGCATTTGCCACTGCGCTTCATTATGCAGGTCTTCCGCCTCCTATCTCCCGGAATCCCTGGCTTGCCCTTCACCTATCCTTCCTATCCATCCTTCCTGCACGACCCCACATGCCAGGCATTCTGGCAGGCGTCCTTCACAACACCAGTGATGGTATACTAGGATGTGTACTTGGGGGTACCTTTAAGGTACTTATACTAAACCTCTGTTGTCTATCTCGTAAGATATCGTTATCCTTTTCTAAAATGGTAAAGTAGAAATTTTACCTTAAAAACTGAAAAACATTTATAATCTTTTCCTTCTAAACAGTATATACCAAATTATCTGATCCATTCATTTTGATTCATCTTTACAAATAATATTACAAAAATTTTTTTAATACTGGAAATACTTTAATAGTTTAAATTTGATTATCCTTTTTAGAGATAGTAGTTTTCTTGTACCTAATTCTATCAAATTTTATCTGTCTAGTACTATTTTTTATTGACCCAATTTTTCGAAGTTACCTAGTAATATTTTTGAATACTCGTAATTCTTTGATAATTTCTGTTAGATTATTATCCCTATTATTAGAGATAGTGACCCCATTTTTCGATATTATCTATCTAGTACCCTTGCCAGCACTATTTTCCACCCAACAGCGCCCATTCATCCAGTTCTCCGGCATTGTTGTGGGTGGCAACATCTGCGGTCGGGTCGCTGCAATGCCGCATTATATAATAATGCATGGGCGTGTGGGCTGCGGCCCTGTTGACCTCATCGCATGGCTGTGTCAAAATTGTTCGACAAGCTCGTGTACTTGAACTGTCAACCTGTGTGGGTTGTAAGGGTGGGGTTCCGACATGTTGTTGTTTTCGTGTTTACGTGCTCTTGTTATTCTTGTTTTCGGCGGGACAGGATTAACTATCGAGCGGTTTTGCGCACTTTTGCATATTTATAATTGCGAGTCACGTTTAGGGGCCAAGTTTGGTACGGTTTTAACGGTTCTTTGAACTTAAAGCGATTTTTAAATATTTTGGGGGACTATATCTGCAGGTGAGCCGGATAAAGTTTTATAAAGTTTAAACATTAAATGGGAGATGCTAAGACCTTAAAAGCATTGCAAATTTTTCGTTTTATTTCTAGTACAGTCAGTAAATGGCTGTTTTATGCTTATCCAAGATATATTTTTAAGACAAGAGAACTTCAGGGTTACCCATTACTAAAGATTCTTTTTTTAGAACTAGCATAATTTCAGAGCAAACTAATACTGCTGAGTGTTTTCCAAAAACTATATCTGTTTCTAGAGTCTCTCATCCGTCGAAAGCAAAATAAACAAAACTAGAGTTCGATATATTTGGCAGTACAGCCAATTAACCCGAAATTAATGGATAAACAAAGTAATAGGCAACCTGCTTAACAGAACTGAGAAACGAAATAAATTAATTGCAGTCGCCAGCGGCATTCGCCGCAGGTGGGCGGTACTATCTGTGGGTTGGGTGGTGCTTGGGTGGCGTTTAGATGGTGGTTGGGTGGTGCTTGGTGGTTGGCAGGGGGTATAGGCCTTATAGGCGCCATGCTGCAGTTTCGACCGACGAGCCGAAACAACAGATGAAAATAGAACTTTAATTAAAAGCCGAGAGAGCCAGCGGCAACGGCAGAAACAGCACTGCGAGGGAAATATAAAATAAGCCAACATTCTAATAAGGAAAATAGTTGCTCAAACGCACACACAGAGGCTCACAAGATGATATACAAATACATAAGCACTGAGCAAAAATGGTGAAAGAATTTCTTCACGAAAATATATATTCAAAGTCAGGCTAAGAAAGTTTAAAATTTAAAAACATTTTCACATATTGGAATAAAATGTTTCTTTAAATTACAAAAAACATTTTGTATTATTTTTCACCCCTGTACTAAAACCTTTTAAGTTATCAATAAAATATTATTATAAATATTATAAGGAACTATACACAATTAAATTATGCAATGATGCTTATAAATATTTTACATTTAACATAATTCTTAAATTGTGTTCAGTGAACTCGCAGATATGTGCACGAACAGGGCAAACAGCGGGTGCTCTCTGCTATTTAAAGCCCATTTGCAGTTGGCCTTATTTCTGGATGGTGGATGGCTCAGTGGTATATGGCCGTATCTGTATATCTGGCGCTTTAAGCCGTCCGGGGGAACCGCATTCAGATGCGATGATATGTCGCCGCCGACTAAGCACGCTCTAGATGCCTCGAAGGCGGTTCGAGGCCTCGCTTCGCCAACTTGGCTGCATTAAAGCCGGCTTTTGAACCCGGCTAAAACCGAATCGCGTAGAGCTCTGGTAACAGGCTGCTTGGCAAACACAAAGCCGGCGACAGGTGAAAGGACGCCTCGAGTGGCTGCCACTCAAGACTTTTACCCAACAGGGCTTTAAGTTCGAGCTGTACATTCAGCGAATTCGACGCACTACGGTTTCAGGGCCTCCGTCCATACAATTTAATTAGTCTAGTAAGACTTCCTCGTTTTCTCATTCTATTAGGGAAAATAATTAATGAATTCATCTGGCCTAAGTGCAGTCCCATTATACTTGACGCCACCGTGGATAACTATGACAAGATGGGATGGGAATGATGACGATGACGTCGCCGGGTCTGTGGATTCTTGACGTTGATGAGTCGCAAGAACAACAAAAGTTATCTCGCGGTTGGAAAATATGGGCACTGCTTGGTGTGGCACATATGCCAACAGAACGTAAGCACTATGATTACATAGCTGATGAAATATGCATTATCTGCCGGTTTTGAGACAAAAGTTTTCGGTGAAAATAAAAGTTAAAACCCAACTGAAAGCCCCAAAAACCCTGTATTTGTCAAGAAAATGAGAAAAAGTTTTTTAGGTGATTCAGTCAAGGCTGAAATGGGGTTTTAAGAACTTAGTTTTTTATAAAACTATAGGGGACTATTTAATATTTTTATATTTTATAAGTCCCCAGTATCATCATTATTTTATCTCTCTTCGGAAAACAAATGATGATCGTAATATGGAGTATTTTAGCCCAAAATTAAAAATCAGCCAATTGTATCCATAAAAAATACAAAATATTACCTCACCCGTCTGGGGTCTACAAATTCCGCAGAAGAATATTCTTTTCCAAAGCTATTCATAATCTTTAGTCATCGCGGCTTTTGCCTAAGTGATTCTATAATTTGCGTATGTATCTAGGTACATATACATGCCCTAGCGTCATAAATCTAAACGAAAACGTTTAGGAAGCTAAAGAAATCCACCGCCTACAGCGAGATTATCACCCTGGCCAGAGATATATAGCTTTGCGCGGATATAGCTACGTGGCTAGGCCTAAAATTAAATATATACCTCTCGAAATTTCACTCAGTTTGCGGTTTCGCTTTTGAGGAACCCCAGGGAATTGCCTTAGTGGACCGCAGAAATTTGCGGCAACCGTGTCCATCAAATTGTGCAAGTCACCTCCACATATGGCCCCGGAATTCCTGCACATCCCCCTCGCCAATCAATTGCACATTGTGCACGTAGCCACAGCAGAAACTATGTGCGTGTTTTGGTTGAATTTTGGCTGGGGGAAAGGGAAAGGAAAAGGTCGGGTGGGGAAGGGAGTCGGACTTAGGGGCGTGTGAAATCGAAACCATTGAAACCGAAAACACTGAATGAAAACTTTTGTGGCCCAGCCTTGGGATCGAATTGAATTTTCGGTGGCATGCCACCAGGCCACAAACTTTTGCGACCCATGTGGCCATGCAACTGACCCACATCAAACCCACAGGGAAAGTCGAGGGACGAGGACCGAAAAAAATCAGCGAATGTCTGGCAAAGATTTTTTATGGCATGTGCTGGGAAAAAGTGTAGGGAAAAAACTCTGAAAAGTTTCGACGTTAAAGCCACTGGGCACACTTCATAATTGTATGCGAGTTCTCTCCAAAACTTGTGGCTGCGAGGCCAGCAAAAGTTTCAAGGTGCAAGTGCCTACGTGGCGTATACGTCATAAAAGCCATAGACCACTGTGTGGCCTGTGTACGTGGATTGGATGTGAAGGGTCGGTAGAAAAAATTGGACGCAAATTGAATGGCAGGAAAAATCGATTTAAGTTGCACTTTGTTCATTGGGGCAAGTCCTGTTGATGAGTGGAAAATGGAGGGCGATTTTGGAGGGAAACTTGTTAGTCAAAAATGATTGGAATTTTTGAATTGAAGTGAGAAAATATCGAAATTGTGGCCAAAATATGTTTTCATCAGTTTATAATCAATAGTTGAATATTTTGACAGTAACACCTTTGTTTTTGTTATACACCCTTTTTATTTGATTAAGATTCCCTTGCCATGTGATAATTACCCCAATAAAGATATACTAGGCCCGTAAAATAGTAACCTTAGATCAACAATCGGTTGTTTAGTGTCAAACAAGATACAGTATCCGAGCACCTGGCTTGCGTTTCGGTGGTGCAAAGCTTGGAGGTACTGTCAAAATAAGTCTTTCCAGGGCAGGTGTACACGTTTCCATAATATACGCCGGCAGAAATATAACAGTTTACATATCTGGGGGACAAAAGGGTTTGTATGAGAAAATTATAGGATATGGGAACCGAGATACATTTTAAAATATTTGTAAATCAATGGACTTACTGCCTACAGGTGGTGGAGGTTACCCTGCCATAGGGAAATCTTCCTATTTGCTTAATGGATTCACAAAATTCCGTGGCATTCGAAATGGTCGTGGATCCACAGGTTCCTGAGCTCGATCCGGAACAGGTCACTAAATTTGTGGCTGGACTACCACATATGTATGCGTTGGTCAAACTGCACACCAAGTCCGTACCGCAACTTCCTCCAATCGACGTACTGGGGGTAGTTGCCCCTAGACATAGAGCGAAAGTGTTCCGACTGGTGCAGGCAAAGCGATTATCAGCGCTACAAACATTGCATCCAGGACAAGCTCTAGAGGATTCCAAGGAGCTGCAAACAGGTGTGCCCGCTGTACAGTAATATCCCGTGGGGCAAGTGTACAGATTTCCTATGGGTGCCGGAGGGGTGCTGGTGGAGCAGAACTGGAACTCGGTATCCGAGATGCAAGAGACACTATTCGAATTGCAAGTATTGCAGGCTGCCCGGCAGCCCACGATACTCACTCCCAGGAAGATCAGTAGGCGTAGCATCTTTAAATGGAACTGAGGAAATAGAATGCCTGCATCCGAATTTATCCAGTCGGTCTTATCTTATCCCAGTGCAGTACTATCTGTTCGCTAATCTTGGCGAAAATCTATTCTTATATTGTTTCCTGCACTTTATTCACGTGATCAAGATACAGTTTATCAAAATAAGGTAGTAATTCAATCCACATGTAATGCCTGGTTATACAAATAAAGGAATCACGCTTTAGTCAGAAAGTTTGGTTTCTACTTTATTTCAATTATATACCATGTTCCGGCTTACATCCGTTGTAGGATCCTTTTAGGTTGTGCAAGCTTGGATAGAGCTATCGAATAAGGTGGACCCGGGACATGAGTATACTTTTCCATAGAAAACTTTTCCGTAGAAATAACAGTAAACATACCTGAAAACAAGACGCAGTTTAACCTTAAGGTATATTTGTAATGTTTTGAATCTTACCTTTTAAGGGAGATAGATGACTCTTCCACATAAGGAAATCGCCCGGACCGTCTTACAGAGCGACAATATTCCTTTGCACTATCAACAGTTGCACAGGTTTCAGGATCCGATCCAAAACAGGAGGCTTCCCACAAACTAGGACTGCCGCAAATATTTGGGTTTTCAACATTACAAACGTAATCCCCAAAACAAGTCCCGCAAATCGATGAAATTGGCGTTTCGTTTTCCAGGCACAAGGAATAAGTATTTCGACTAGTACAGGCAAATCGGTGGTCTAAACTACATCTATTGCATCCTGTACATGCGGCAAATGTTTCATTTTTGCTACAAACAATGGAGTTGGCCGTACAGTAGTATCCCTTGGGACAGGAGAACACAGATCCAATGAGCACGGCTGCGGAGGAACAGAATCGGAACTCTCTCAGTGACCCACAGGCCACTCCAGAGGACACAGAGCACACATTACAGTCCGCTTGGCAGCCGAGGACTACAATTCCCAGAAAGATCAGTAAACGGAGCATTTTTAAATGACACTGAATTAAAAGAATCCCTGCAAGCAAACTTATCAGGTCTGGTTTATCTTATCCAAGTGCAATATCTATGATATCTAAACAATCTCTTGAAATTAGGGCCTATCTAAAAGCAATTAAAGTTAAGTAAGGCTGAGACCTCCTACAAATATTAAAGTGAAAATTTTAAGTAAGGCTGAACTTTTCTATTGCCCATAATCGGCTTTCAATTTAATTAAATTGAGTGATAAATGTAAATTGTCCCCTAAGAAAAGGTTGTTAGTGTATTCATTTAATTTGACTTGGAATAATTTTCTGTTACATTAAATTATAAAAAGGCTGCTAGGATTAATTTGACTATTCATGTTAAATGTCACAATATCTATGGATTACTGAATGTCAAAGTGGCTACTCCATAAGTGCATCTGGCCGGCACTTCGGTGCCACAGTACATCGTTGAGCTGTCGAAATATGTTTGCCCAGGACAGTAGTAGAGACCTCCCCTCCAATTAGTTGAATTCAGGAAACAATATATGTATCTGAAAATTAATAATATATTACAAAATTGTATAGTGTATAGATAATAAAAAGTACTTACTGCCTACAGGTGGTATTGAGATCAATGCCATAGGGAAATCTTCCGCGCTGCTGGACGAGGGAACAGTAGGTGGTGGGTGTCATACCTGTAGGATCTAATCCAGTTCCAATAGTATCACCCGGACAAGTGGCCTGGGACCCCAGCGAAACATTGCCGCAAATATTCGGGTTGTTGTAATCGCAAACGTAACTCAATCCACAACTTCCTATGATCTGGGAGGGGGTGGTTGTCCCCAGGCACAAGGCAAATGTCCTTGCAGTGAGGCAGGCAAAGGAGTTATCACTGTTACAGGTGCCACAACCCACACAGGCTCTAAGGGCAACATTTGTATTACAAGTAACCTCATTTGCAGTACAATAATATCCCGTGGGACAGGTGTAAACTGGGCCAAAAGGCAGTGCGCTTGTCGAGCAAAATTGAAAGGAAGTATTTGAAACACATGCCACATTGCTCACGGAGGAACACACATTGCAGTCCGCCTGGGTACCGAGAATATAGATTCCGACCAGAACTCCGGTGGTCAGCAAGATCAGAAAGCGCAGCATCTTTATCAGAAACTGGAGCTATTGGTGTCACGTAGGTGTCTTTATGCTCTCGTAGCTATCTTATCTCTGGCAGAAACTAGAACTTCCAACACAGAGTTATAACTGCAAGGGGATTAAAAGCTCGCATGCGAATTTAGGTCGATTTGTCGAATGAATATAGAGACATATTATATTTTAGAATGCCTTTTAGAATTGATAGACCATTTATAATAAATAAAAAAGCAGGCATGTTTTTAAAAATTTTGGTAAAGATTTGTGGTACATATTTTTTTTAACGTTCTTTGAAACGAGAGCCTTTTATCATTCCGAGCTGTTTTGTTTTAAACTAACTGAATATTTGACTTTGGTTCATACAACTGTAGTTTTTTCTCTAGTCATTATCTTTTAATTACCTGCCACTCAAACATTTATCATGTGCTTTTAGATGATTCACAGGGTCAAATCGAAATGATAACTGAAGATGCATTTTTTATTTTGATAAAATAAAAAAAGAAAGCCAAACAGAATTTTATTGATCAAAAAAATGTTCTCTTTCTCTCTCTGGAAATAATTTATGCACAAGTCGATGGTTTCGTCTTGACGCAAGTAAAAGAGGTTTCACTAAAATAAGGTTTTGATGAAGGGCACGGCCAGGTATTTCCAGTCCAGGTTGAGTTCTTACGGAAGCAATATATATATCTAAAGTAAGAAATGTTTGAAAAATTAAATAAAAAGTGATTAAATAACTCACCTGAGGCAGCTGGAATCATTAGGATGTGGATAGCGACCTGTAGTAGCCTTCAGAGTGCAAAGGTCCCCGATTACACTGGTTGCATTATAATAAGAACAAGTGGCACCTGTACCATTAAAGGAGGGTGCACAACGGCTCCCGAAGTCAGCAACACACACCTCCCCAGTCGAACAGGGGTACACGATGTTTGCAACTATATTAAAACCATCGCAAAGCCCGTAAGTGCTGGGACCTGTGCAGACGTATACGTTCGTCCCATCACACTTGTTGCAATCATTGCAGGAGACTAAAGCCGGATTAGAAGTGCAGCCCCCCGTCGATCCCGTACAGTTGGTATTATTTGGGCAGGTGTAGATTGGTCCACTCGGAATATTATCCGCCGTGCAGTTTTGGTACTGATTGTTAGAAACGCAGGCTGCGTTACTTTCAATTGAGCAGACATTGCACTCGGATTGGCCAAATACCACTAGGATGGCCAGCAAAATTCCCAAGCAGATTAGCTGGCGCAGCATCTTCGAGAGCAACTGGAACTATGAACAATCTAGATGCAACTTTAAGTATCAACCTTATCCAGAAAGCGAGTTAAGATTAAGCTATTTGTATAACAAAATAAGTAGTCATATCTTTTTTTCATTGCCATTGAAAAGTTGTAAGATTCTTAGGTGTTTTTTTTAGAATTTATAATGAACAAATTAAATATATTTTTAGGAAATTATAAAAATACTTATGATTTATGATGCAAAAATAATAATTACATTAAAATAATTCCTTATTTAAATACCTTAAATTTAAAGACGTCCTGAATTAAAGAACAATTCAACTAAATGGGTTGACTTTTTATTTTTCTCCCATCACTGGGAAATTGACAGGCGCCGAAAAGTATGCTAACCTTTTCAACCCCCATAAAAACCCTATGAGCTTATCTAAATTGGGGCAGTAGCCCCAAGGTCTTTCGGATTAAGAGCAGTCTGCATGCTCTGAAAATAGCAAAAAAACGGCGCTCTATTTAAGCCCTCTGTCTGCTAGCCACAGACATCAGTTGAAAAACAATTGGAGCCAGAAATGTCGACCAACCGTATTTGTTTGCCACTTATCCCGGTGCTCCTTCTCGTCGGCTGTCTGGTGTCCTCGACCCGCGGCACCTGCAACGTCTGCAACACCGTCAACAACCTGACCTGCTACTCCTCGACCCAGATGCAGGCCTGCCAGGTGGACGTCCTGTCCACGGCCACGCCCGCCGACTGCCCCAGCGGCTATGTCTGCGTCAGCGGATCGAGCGGGGTGCTCTGCCAGGAGGAGGCATCCGGCAGCCAGTCGGCGGACTGTCAGGAGTGCAACAAGTGCGATGCCACAAACACATTCGCCTGCACCGGAACCCAGAGCTTCGCCCTCTGCCTGGGCACCAACTCCGTCCAGGACTCGATCGGAACCTGTGCCTCCGGCTATGTGTGCAACATCAACGACACCCAGATATGCGGTCTGCCAGCGGATGGGGTAAGTTTGCCTTTTCTCGAAGTTTTGGTCTTGTGTCGTCCGGGAGGAAGGCAGATGTTTAAAAGGGAGCAGGTGCATCAGGAAGCTATGACACGTCAGAAAGGAAATTAAACTATCAAGAAATTATATTCAGTTAGATATCAAATCCATTGCCTGTTGTAAGGAAAGCACTTTAGTGTGTTTAACATTTTCTTAAAGATGCAGTTCACATAATTTATTATGATGATGAACTTAGGTGTGTTTTGAAACAAACACATTTAATCTGGCTTTAACTTAACTTAACTTTACTTTACTTTTATGAGGATTTCATAGTATAGACATTTCATAGACACATAAAAACAAATTAAATAACTTCTTTAAAGAACTTTGCTAAAGTTCAGAGACGGAATATAATATTTTTTCTTGGCTTAAAAATATATAATAATTATGCACATCCCACTAGGTGATGGCGACCTGTTCCTATGCCGATGACACAACCACCACGACCAGCAGCACCACCACCTCCACCACGGCAGCGACACCTTCCACGAGCGACGCAGCCACTTACTGTGCGGCAGTTCAGTCGCAGGGAAGATATGCGGTTGGCTATAACACGGATACGACATGTCACCAGTACATCTACTGCACCCTGGTCAGCGGAAGTTGGGTCGGGGAGACGTACACCTGCCCGGGATCCATGTACTTCAACAGTTCCTCCTCGATGTGTGTGGTCAGCATCCCGTCCACCTGCTCTACCAGCGCCCCCACCCCAGCCACGACGACTGTTGCTCCCACGACAAGTAATCCACAGGCATATTGCCAGGCGATGCAATCCGCGGGATACTATCCGGTGGGTACGGTTGTCAGCACCACGTGTCACCAGTACATCGAATGTTTCCTAAACGGTGGCTCCTGGTACGGCAGTTTGTACACCTGTCCCGGAAGCCTCTACTACGACAGTGCCGCCAAGACCTGCGTCACCACTATACCATCAACCTGCTCCACCACCGTGGCTAGTTTAACCCTCAAGGGAGTTGCTCTAGATTAAAATATACATATCTTACTAAAGAGTATTTAAAAATTTATTAATACAGGGGAGTTCAGCTTAAAAGACAGTTGCCTGGATTGTCGTAGGCGCAACTCTGAGTCTCGGAAACGAAATAGGAATCCGAAGGACAGTTGTATTCAGCTGATTTGATAAGAACGTTGCTCTTAAAATAGCAACTAATGTAGCTGTAAAGATAAGGTTTAAAATATAACGAGTAATGTGGGAAATTGTACGCATTTTACGCACCGCTGACAATAGGGATCCTCGGGTATGATGGTAAAAAGCCCGGTGGCATTTTTCTGCGTGCACATCTGATCTGTAGTAAGAGGGCTCACTGTTGTGGTTGATTCAGTGGTACTACTGACTACTGTGGTTTCGCTGGTGCTCTCAGTGGTGTTTCCAGTGGTGCTTCCAGTGGTGCTGTTAGTGGTGCTTTCAGTGGTGGTTACTGGTGCTGCCGTGGTGGTGTCTACCAGCTCATCATTTAAATCACAAGTCAGGGTTTGACCCTCGACCTCGGGAACACAGATCGAAGTGCTGGTGGCATCGCAAACGGTTCCTGAGGGGCAGTAGCCGAATTTTCCAGTGGGTCTGGTGGCCCCATAACACATCTGAAAAATTCCACGACTCTGGCAGGCGAATAGATAATTCCGATTGGCATTGCATTGGCCACATTGCGAGGTATCCCCGCAACTTGGAGGACGTTGGCTGCTCTTTTGAACACAAATTGCCGTGAGATTGGTGCAATCGAATCCTTCTAGGCAATGATACAACTGATCGCGATGTGGTGTTCCATCTGAGGGATCATCAGGGAATGATTTTTACATATTTCATAAGGTCTATTCTCAAACTTACCTCCAAAGCATAAATAAAAGGATGAGGAGTTGACACAGGCCACTTGATTAGACTGACAGACATTGCAATCGGAAACGGTTTGAACCACCATAAAAGCCAGAAACACCTGGGAGAATTTTCTTTGATTATATTTGATAATAAAACTGATTAACATTTTATTACCACCAATAGTCCTTTGACTAAATTTTCCTTCACGTCCGACATATTTGGTTTCCCGAACTGCTACTGCTCACTGTCAAGGTTCTAGTGGTACTAAAAGCTGGCTTATTATAGCCATTTGTCTGGTCTGCTATGTCTAGTCTCCAATGTTTATCTACTCTTTACTTTTCTCTGCTAATTGTTTTATTTGCCTTGGCTTTCCACATGATTGCGGTTTTATGTGCTCTCATGATTCTTATGATGGGAATGTTTCTAGTGGTTCTGATTGATATGTGGGTGCGGACAGTGAGCAAAAGTTGAAAACCTCTTAATTACCAGGCTCTAAATAGGTGAAACGGATCGCGCGAAGAAAGTTCTTACTAATTGGTTAATATTCTCTTGAATCTTAGTATTGCGATTTGCTGTTAAGGCATGCACAAACCAAAAGTATCTGCTAATTAAATAAATATTTATCCTCAGGCTAATGACCTCTTGGTATTAAAAGACTTTAAATTAAGCTTCTGAAATGATCTGCTTCTGTTGCTTTCAGGAACACAACTATTTTTTTCACAATCAAATATACCATTTTCCTCTAAAGTGTGATGTCATTTAGTGCACTTAGCAGATACTGCATAATTATGGTCATATATTTAGTAAAAAGACCCCATATAAGCAATGGCAACTATTTGCACAATGCACTTACTTAAAAAGCGCATGATAGTTATCGTAGTTAGTCTGTTTGGAATTGTCAAAGCCTCCATTATGAAGTACTTTTTGTTCCTGAGAAGTTTGGTAACTTACTTTCCAAGTCCTAAAGGATCCTTTTTTAACTAAAAGTTTTTTCGTAGTGTTTCATTGTGATTGCATCCTCCGCGGTAGTTTTCGTCCTTGGTGAAACACCATGCAATCAGTGTCAATCAACGAATGTAAAGTGTTTGAATGAGACCCACTTTAGTCTATGCATGGAAAGTGTTGCTCCCGATCAGGTGATGTCGTGTCCCGATGGCCAGATCTGCACCGGTCTCCTGAAGATCTGCATGCCCAGAGGATCGACAGCACCTTCCTGTCCTTCGAATGCCGAGGTTACGTGCCCCTCCTGCGATGGAATTTCCACCTTCGTCTGCACTAGCCGCACTACCTTTCAAATGTGCAACGGAGATGAAATCACCAGCCAAGTAAACAAGTGTAAGGTAGGTAATACCTACTGTGCCATAAGTGGTAAGAATTTCTGTGTGGACCGCTGTGAAGCGCTAAGGACCGGCATTCAGTGCGACAGGGAGTCACCTTTAGAAGTGTAAATCATATTTAGTTATCCACAGAAGTAACTACTTTGAAGTTTAAAAATAAATCTAACTATTATTGTTCTTAAAATATTGTTTCGAGTTTTTATTTCTTTTATTAAATTACAACGTGGTATTAGTAATAAAAAATAGTATATAACATTGATTTAGACTAAATTGGTACATCCCGCATAGGCTGGCTTAACAGTACCACAGTTGTAGATATCAGCATCAAAATAAGGCTTCTGCGCGGTGCAATTGTAGAGCAATCCCGTCCAGTTGCCACTCCTCTGAATACAGTAGATATAGCTGGAAAAATCAGAAGCAATTAGCATTAGACGCTATATGGATGAGGATGATTTTGGTATTCACCTGGTACAAACTGTATCATTGGTTATGGGATAGCGTCCCGTTGAGCTGATTCCTTGGCAATAGACGATTTCGTTGAAGACTGGAGTGGTTCCAGTGCTTTCGGTAGTCACCGTGCTCTCCGTAGTGGTATCCGATGAGGTTTCCGAGGAAGTTACGGATGAAGACCCAGTGGAGTTATCACTAGCAGTAGTAGGAGACTCAGTGGTTACCGCGGAAGAAGAACTTGCAGTAGTTCCAGTTGAAGCAGTGGTGCTCACAACATCATCGGTTTCCAAAACCCGATCGCAGATATCTGATTCAGTCGAATTGCATCGGGAAATACAGGGAGTTCCACTGGCAGCACCTGTCACACTGCAGACATAATCGCTGGCACATGAGAGATCGTTTCCGGAGACTACTCCATTATTGCAAACAGCAAATGTAGTCAGAGAAGTACAGGCAAAGTTGGCGGTTGCGGTGCAAACATCGCAGCTCGAGACATCCCCACAGGCACGTTGAGTATCCGTTCCATTAGCCAGGCAAATAATATCATACACCGTGCAAATGGGTCTTTCATCAGGACAAGTGTAGTTAACGGTCTGATCCCGGACACCTGATGAGCACTATCCATTAGTTTTCAGATCTTTAAAGTTGAGATATCACATCTTACCATCGTAGCATATCTGGAAGACCGATTCTCCGATGCAACTGTGCGAATCCGTGCACGTTCCACATGAGGCATTTACAATAGTTGGACTCAAAAGAGCCACCAGCACTACGATCAGCATGAACACTTTCATTTTAGGTCTACGATTAATTCCCAAAAGGAGCGACCTCCCAGCTTTATAAACCCCGGGATGGGGTCATATCTTTACGATGGTCTCGGGGCCATAACAATTATCTTTCAATGCCGAGCGTGACCATAAAGCTACTCTTCCTAGTAAGGTAATCTCCGAGTAGTACGGGAGCCCCTCTTTACAAATAGTATCATATATTCTTAGATCTTTAGCATACTTAATCCTGAGTGTAAATCGCTAAAGCTATCTGCTGTCTGTTCTTATAAAAGGCAAGTACTGGCTGGTTGTTTCAGTTAGTCCGTTAGTCACAGTCAAAAACAGCATAATGCAACAATCCCAGATCCTGAGAAATCTGGTAAGCCATGCGGAATTCGTTTGAAGACAAATCTTAATAGCCATTTTTAGTTCCTCTTTGCGGCTCTAAGCTCCATGGCAGTTGTGGTCCTAGGAGTGTGCGATAGCTGCCAGACGAACAATGTGGCCTGCCTGAACGAAACGCACTACAGGTTCTGTGGCGACAATGTGGCACCCAACCAGGTGGCACAGTGTCCCACTGGACAGGTCTGCACCAACCTGAGCATCATCTGCATGGACGAGGGTTTGTACGATGCCTCCTGCTCGACCTCCGCTGCGGATGGATCCTGCCCCAGCTGCGATGGCACCACCATGTTCGTCTGCACCAGCCGCACCACTTTCCAGCAGTGCAATGGCACCAGTCTGCTGAGCCAGGTCACCTACTGCAAGGACAACAAGATCTGCTCGATCAACTCTGGCAAATACTGCGTGGACCTGTGCGAGGCGGGAGATTCCATTGAATGTGACAGGGAATCTCCTCTAGCATAGCAGGCTTACACTGTTTCTGAAAAAATTATTCTTTTAAATAAATACTGACTTTTATAATATAAAATGTAACAAAAACGTGGTATTTTAGCTAATTCCAACTAATAAAAAATGTTTTCCTCCAAAAAATAAATACGCATTTGTAGAAGTCAAAGAGTTGCGATTACATATTATTTTTCTTATCTTTAAATTCTTATCTGCAGCATTTGAGTACATATGTTCATCTTTGACTAATTAGGTTGGCTCATGCTAATATTTTATTTTACAAATATCTTTTAAAATTTAATTTAATTTAGTCACATTTTTTTGAGTCACTTAGAGCTATGGTGTGGTAAACTGAAAGAACTGAAAGCAGCCGTAATACAAATGTAAATATTTACATTTTAAATATTCCACAATAATTATAAACTTTTTTATTGGCCTTTAAAGTTATGTTATGCCTAAGTCTTATTTATTATTTGTAAATAACTACATAAAAACACAAGATAATTCTCAAGAATTCCTACCATAAACCACTTTTACCACCCCTTAGCTAAAAGCTTATCGTTGTTTTGGCCATCTCGGGTTGTCATGGACAAAAGCATCGCAAATTCTGTTGCGAAGGTCAGTTCCTTAGCCACAAAACAGAAAAACAAGCTGTGAGGTAAGTCAGTAAAAATACCTTCATTTATTTAAAATATTATCTAATTGAATTAAGCAATTTAATTGACATTGACCCAGTTGCGTTGGGGTTCCGCAATGCGTAATCAAATTAAACATATGAAGCAATGACGTCAAAGTGGTATAAAATTGTTATATACAATAACATTTGCTTATAATAGCTTTGAAGCCGTAAACAAATTGTTCTGCACTTTCATGCTCCGATTTTTGGACTGCTGTGGAGTTGCTCCACATTTAATTGGGCGCCCAAAGGTGTGGAAAACAAATTCGCAACAGGAAACAAACGGTGAAAAGCGAGAGCACAGAGATGGGACCACCTCCCATGGAAGCCATCCAAAACCATCCAAAGCCATCCAAACCATCGAAAAGCCCCCGGCATTCCGGTGATTGTGGCGCATCTAATTGTTGTGACTGTTGCGTTTTGTTATTGTAATTAATATTCAGCTAAACTCAGCTGGGTTTGACTAAAACTAAAAAGCGAAAAGCGTTGAACAAATTGCGGTCATTAAACTTTTTGTCGCGCCGAAAGAAATAAATTGTCGCCCCCGCCATCGCTGGCTTTCATAACAAAGTCACAAATCAACGCGAGCGGATCTGCCGACAACCGATCTGCGATTTTCCAGTGGATTATTATTAACCATGTTGCAGCTGCAACTCATCGTGGTCTCCTGCCTTTTGGTCCTGGCCACCTGTAAGGTGCACAAACAAACGCCCTCGAACAGTTGGCGGGACATGCTCTTCGGCAGCAAGTGGCTAACTCCCGCACCCCGTTGGCGGGAGTCCAAATGTGGGTTCCGCAGAACTTTAAGCAGTGTCACCAACAAAAAAAAATTAAATTAAATTTCGTGTAATTTCCCACCAGTTTTGCCCATCTTTGCCCTGGTTCCCATCGGTCCTGGCAGCTGTTCAGCGCCCTCGGGCGAACAGGGAAATTGCATTCCCAGCAAGGACTGTGCGCTGAGGAATGGCATTCCAGCTGGTCCCTGTGGCGGTGGCTATGGCGTCTGCTGCATCTGTGAGTTCTCACCTGAGTGTGGGCAGCAGGGGGAAATGTTTTACCTAATCCACTCGTTCAGTTCTTCAGACCTGCGGCGGTGTGATACGCGAGAACTCCACCTACTTTGTGAACCCCAACCATCCGGATGTCTACGATGGCACCGGAAGCTGTCAGGTAACTGTCCAAAAACTCCATCCGGATATTTGCCAGCTGCGTCTGGACTTGGACATGTTTTCGATAGCACCTCCAGAGGCAGCCAATCACCTGTGCAACCAGGATCAGCTGCTGATATCCGGCGGCAGTCCCACGCCCACCATTTGTGGCAGTTCGACGGGAGATCACAGTGAGTTTACCAAGATATATTAATAAGGTTATGCAAATGAGAAATTTCAATAACTATTAAGAGAAAGTAGTTGTGATAAATAAATCAGCTGATGTGAACCGATTTTTAAAATTCTTTATAATTTATATTGCCCTTTAAAGTACGATTTCAATAGAATTCGAATTTTCTTTATAAATTTCTTATTAAAATATTAAATTTATCAGTTTTGCAGTTATCAAGAAATAATTTCCCGTTTATTTGTGGCTTAATATTATTATATAAGCCCCATAGTCATAGCAATTAAAAGCAAAGTCATTTAAATTTTATACCTATAGCTCTTAATGACTTCCATATGTAATTTTTACGTAGACATTTTAATTAATCGAAGTTTATTTAAATGAAGTAAAGAAAGTTTTTAAAGCTACAAGACCTTGTAAAATTCGAGCACATGCTTTAATTCACAGCCAAAAATATTTACTTATGTTTAATACAAACTAGCACCCCCAAAACAAGTGTACAACTACTAAACCCAATGACCACACCCTTTACGATTATCAGGGTAAACAAATCCGTAGCGTCTGGCTTCTCAATGCCAACCTTCTGTTTTCGCAGTGTACATTGACGCGGGTCTTGGCCAGAGCAACCCGATTGTTTTATCGGTCATCACCAGCGCCAGTTTCCCACGTCTGTGGCGCATCCGCGTCACCCAGATCCACTGTGGCAGCATCAGTCGCGCGGATCAGGGCTGCCTGCAGTACTACACGGCTATCAGTGGGCGCGTGCGCAGCTTCAACTACAACACGATTGGTGGAAGGCAGCTGTCCAACCAGGATTACAGCATCTGCATCCGGAACGAACGCAACTTCTGCGGAATTCAGTACAACGCCTGTCCTGATCTGGAGAACAACCGATCCAGGGCGTTCACCCTCTCGGGAAATTCCAACAATCCAGTGCCCACAATGGTGGGTGGTGGCGGTTCAGTGCCGCCCAATCCCAACGGTTGTGTGAGCGATTGGCTGCTGATTGGGTGTATAAGGTCGGCGGATAGGATTCCTCCGCTGCCAGGATGCGAGGATCGAGTTTGTGGGGGGACCTTCAGCGCAGAGGCTGGTATGCTGGCCAAAACTGTGCAATGTAAGTATAAAGCAAAGTTAACTTAACTCTAAATTGCTCAAGATAAGTTTAAATTCGTTTTCTGGAAAAACTGCTGAATTTTTAATTTAATCATTATAATATTCCACATCAAAACAAAAACTTTTTCAAAACTTGACTCCAAATTTTACAACAGTAATATACTTAAAAAAATAATATTAAAATATTAATGTTTGATTAAAAAAAATATATTATTGATAAAATCTTAAAAAATAATTGATATGTTCCTGGCCTAGAAACTGTAATAAAAACTTAATATAAAATACTGCTTTAAAAATATATTTGTATACATTTAAAGCAATATTTGAACACTTTGCACACATTTAAATTGAATCATTACTATCCATCAATTTAACAATTTTTATAAAATTTAATATTTTGAAAAACATCCTTACAGCCAGCGTTCGTCCTTTCCGGCTGTACTTTCACACGGACGGAGTAGAGGCGCCCAATGATATAGACAATCGGGGCTTTTGCCTTGATTATGTTCAGCAGCCATGCACCAATGGTTTTTAGCTGACATCCCAAAAGTATGCAATACTCTTTTTTCCAACATCCAAGACATGAACCGCGCGACTTAAGTCGCTGGGAAATTGTGATCGGCGCTGCAAAAGTCGCAGGAAAAACGCGCACTCTTTTTGTATGTAATAAATATGTTTTATTTATTGATTTTCGTAATTAAGTTAGACATAACTTTAAGATTTAATTTAATTTAGAAAGCACAATTCGTGTCGTATTTTGGTACAAATTTTAATGACGTGGCTAGGGACATCGAAATTTCTTAAAATCGTTTCCAACTACTAATACAGGTTTATTGAATTACGTTTAATTAATAATACTTAGCTGAAGCAAAAACAAAAAATTAAATAACAGAAAAACACGATGAAAAACGCTTTTGTTTAAGGACATTTTCGTTGCAGTTGCAGTTGCAGTTACTGCTGCCGTGGCAAAAAAAAATAAGATAAAACAAGTACTGATGATGCGCACGTTGTCGTTATAAAGAGGGTTTTCTGGGTTCGCTTGCTCGCCTGAGATCGCCAATTTCAGTCTGTGCGCGTAGTGCCCGACTTGTGACGTCACTGGGGATGGGAGTATCTCGGATGTGATGCGGGTATCTACGATAGTAATCTGCTAATCCTAATAGGTTTGTATTAAGGCAGCCACATGCTGTTTCTCCTCCTCGGTCAGACCGTTTTTCAGCGTGCGACGTACTGTAAAACATTGATACAAAATATAAATAATACATATACAAATATTTTATAATTTGATTTAGTTAGGCGTAGGCTGTCATTCAATGTTAGGTCTATAGGACATGCGAGTTAGTTGCCTGTATTTTTGAAAAACCGTTAAGCCACATGCAAATGCATTTCATATTTACAAATTGGTTGTTAAACCAGGTCGTATATAGAACCCAGATCTTCAACAAAATACAAGAGTTCAAAAACAAAGCTGAGTACAAGTTTCAGCCAAAGGATTTAAACAAGGAAAGAAAGTAAATAAAAACGGTGTAAAACTCAACACAATTCAATTCACTAACCAAAAAAGGTAAAACCTAAAAAACAGTTGGCTGTTCTTTTGGTAACGGTTACGGATTCGGTTAACAGTAACGGTTTCTACGGCGATGGTGCTCTTTCAACTGTGAATCCTTCGCGCGTGCGGCTGCGCTTCACTTCGATAGTCAATATTTCAGATTTGTTGGGTTCGGTTTTATTTGATTTTTTTATTGGTTTGTTGGATTGGTGCGTTAATGGTAAAAGAACGAAATGGAAAAAATTAAAACCCAATAAAGGCAACAGATTCGTAAGCTTGGCAAAACTAAGGGGATAAAAAAGCTGCGAAATTGGGAATATTATGTTGTAAATGGGGATACAAAACTGCAAAGAATTTTGTGTGAATTTGGAATTTTATGAGGGAATTATAAATATATAGTTTCTCATTGGAATTGCTGGTGGTGTAGTTTGTTTCTGGTTGGGATATCCAGCTAGAGGTTATAGACATAGCGCGCTGTGTGTGATTCGAAAAGATATAGACCAACACCTTTTCATTAAAACGTATTCTCACTATCGGAGTTTTGGACGTGGATCTGGATTGTGTGACTTGTGAAAGCGGTCAACTTACATGATTTGCGATCCGCATGTCGCGTCCGCTTCCGTTCCCTGGGTGTTGTCCTTGTTCCTGGGGCCTTGGTGGCGGTTTTAACCAGGGATTCCAAGATCTCATCATCCCCGTCGGTGAACTGCTCCTCACTCTGGCGGGCAATCGGCGAACGGAGCTGCTCCGCCCGTCTTCTTCGCCAGGTGAGAGTGCCATCGGCCTGGTCGGCACTGGATGTGTCCAGCAGTTTTCTGGAATTATAAATTAAATTAGTCCAAATATGTTCATATGTTCATTATTTCTATCATATTATGTATCATCATAACGCTCGAAATGTTCAAATTATATTTTTGAGGCCAAAGAACTACGGAACCCCGTACAGCCCCGATAAACTACTTCTTATCATACAATTGTAAATCATTTTATGAACATTTATAGCCACATAATATCACAAAGTATTCCCGGAAATTCGGGTCACTTCAACAGCGACAAGCTTTCCTGCTTAATATTAGTAGATAGATCTTTTCAAGTGTTATGATAAGAACCCAGTACTCAAACTCAAACTCACTTCAGCTCGTCATCGGCCACGTCATCTTTGGTCTTGAACTTGGCCATGTCGATGATCAGCTTGCCGCGCGTCTTGTTCCGCTCGCGGTGGTTGGCCTTCTTCTCCAGCTGCTGGAGCACCCGTTCCCGGGTGGTGCGGTACTCCAGGGCGAATTCGGAGAGGGTCCTGCTGAACTCATTGGGCCTCGACTCCGCCACACTGTGCTGCGGCATCCCCAACCACAGAAGGAACTTCCGGTAGCGGTTCATCACCCGCCGATGGACGATCTGCAGGATAATGATGCGCTCCGCACAATCGGCCAGGAAATCCACCAGTTTTTGCTTCAACGGCTGTGGGCAATCGTGTTTGGCAATCAGTTTCAGACGATCCCAACAGGCCTTGCACTCCGCCTCCAGCTGATTGAGATTGTGGGCCAAGTCCGTGAAATCCGCCTTGGAGGCTCGGGTGATGGGTCCAATCTCGGAGTAGAGATCACTAGTATCGCTGCTCGACTCCATGACCATGTGACAGAGGTGGTGCAGCAGCGAGTGCTTGTGCACCGTGTCCTTAACCTCCGGCACCTTGGCCAGATACTCGATCTGGAATCCCTTGACGGGAGCTCCATTGAGGAAGATGCCCACGGACAGCAGCGTGGAAAGGATGCTGCGGAAGGTGCGGTTCTGACGCAGGATCTCAATGCCTTGCTTGAGATCCATCAGGGGTTCCGCAATCTCTTTCTGGGGGTTCATAGGGAAAGATAAATATTTTTATAATTTTTTTTCCAGAGTGATAACCTACTTCGCTGTTGTCAAAGTCCAGACGGAAGGCCCAGAGCTTCAGGCGCGCCTCGAGCTCCGAAATGGAGGCCAGGGTCAGCAGGAACTGCTCGGCACTGCCCAGGGGCAACTCAGGATTGGACAGCTGGGCCTCCTGGATCTTTCCCCTCTCCTCGTCGGTCGGCAGCATATTCAGCAGCTTGTCGATGCCCTCCCGCGTGACCACAGTGGCGTCCATCTTGAGGATGGCCGTCTTGATGGCCCTCGGAGGAGGCAGCTTGGTGATCGCAATGTTGATGGCATTGGAGCGCTTGTGGTCGAGCACGATGATCTCTTTGCTCTTGTTCAGCTCTTGTTGTTTCTGCAAGGTCAGCGAGTGAAAGTTAATACCTTTCGATCAGGCGGCGATCGGTCAGAGATAAAACGTCAGAGAAAAAACGAGAGTGTGGAGTGTGCAAAGTGCAAAGTGCGGAATTGGAAAGGAGTTTCTGTGCTGTTCTGAACGTTTCTTCGAGTGTACGTTGTGGGTGTAAAAAAGTGTAGAGAAATAGTGATAATAACCAACACCAAAACACAAAACAATATGGGCAACAGATCGTGAGTTATGGTGAGATATATATATAAATATAGAAAGTGATAGAGAGACAAAGAGACAAACAAATTTAATAACATTTCGATTGGCACTCACCTCCTAGAGACATTGGAAAACATTTGAATATTTGAGAATTATTTGCATATTGGTTTTGAGTTTAGCACAACATTTATGTAGATATTTCCGCAAACAGACCGTTCGACATTTAGGTATTAAGAATTATATAAGATATCCATAAATAGAGGGGAAAGAAGAATACAAAAATCATTCGCATTTTGTTAACGCAACATACACTTATAGAAGAGCCTATGACTAATTTAATCACACTTATCGTCTAGAGTCTTTGAATTTCGAGAACCTTTGACCAATTGGGGGTAATATGGGGTATATAGGGTATGGTCAAGATACGAACCTTGGTCATCAAGTCTTTGGCCCGGGACTCAAAGAGATGTTCGAGCTTCTGGGTGTCGACATTGGCATCGGGCAACTCGTCCCAAATGGTTTTGCCCACCACCTGCGGTATCATGTCCTCGCGCACTTCCTTCCAGAAGAGCTTGACCTAGGGAGGGAAGAAAAATGTAACCATAATAAATGGTATGATATGATCCTAACTCACCGTCTTCTTGTTCTTTTTGATGGTGTTATTCCCATTGACCAGTTCCCCATTTATGGATCCATTCAGCGAGTTAACACTGTTGGTAAGACTGCCACCATATCCATACATGGGCGGAGGTGCCAAGCTGGGGGGCATCATGGGCGGTGGGGCAATGGCCCCTCCCTGGGGTGGTGGAGGAGGGGGTATGCCAGCACCCAGACTTCGAGGTGCCAACACATCCTTCTCGTCATCATCCCTCAGATCCGTAAAGTCCAAATCGCAGAGATTCAAAGGCCTGGTCATATTCCTTACCAGCTCCTCCCAGTGAAGTTCGTTCTCCGACTTCTTGGGCTCAGACTTCTTCAGCTCCTGATCTACACTAGAAGATCTGAAAATCATAAAAAGTTTATGTCATCGCTACTATAGCTTTTATCATTATTTCTTTCTCCATATCAACAACGTCTTAAGGAGTCCCATAAATGATTAGTCCGACCTTATCTTTGACAGACTCACGCCTAGCAGCACTATATACAATGTATAGGTACGATAAGAAATCAGAAATCAGGCGACAAGGGGTGGGGCACACAACTTTCTAGAGATCCGAGAAAGCAGCGTACGATGACAGTGATAAGACCATGAATTTTGGGGCTCTTTGCAGACTGGGCAAAAACCTGAACTCTTACGAAACTCCCACATAAATCTAATCTAGCAAGTTTGCACAATGGACTCCTTATTATCGGCCTGCATTGGTAACTGTTATCGATTTCTAAAACACAGGTAAGTTGTTCACTATAATTCCCCGATTTCCGGCTGGTATAAAGGCGGTGCACTGAGAGGGACAAGTCACATTTGTCAAGCAAAACCCAAGCAACATGGCTGATGTAAGTTGATGATCGTTAGGATCTGGATATAGAACAATCTCTCTAACTTTCCCTGTGATCTGCAGTTCAACGCAATCCTCGAGAAGACCAAGGCCTTCAGCAAGAAGCCCCCAACGGAGGTGTACCTGGAGTTCTACGGTCTGTACAAGCAGATCCATGAGGGCGACATCACCATCGAGAAGCCCGCCGATGCCGAGGGAGCTGCCAAGTACGATGCTTGGCTGAGCCGCAAGGGAGTGTCCGTCGATGACGCCAAGGCCGCCTACATCGCCCTGTACGAGAAGTACAACCCCATCTACGGATAAGCTATCGCTTACGACTCTGTGCCATATCCTAATAAATCTTGACCACCAGTGAACTGAACTATTGTCTTTTTAAGTGATATTTGTTCTATCTTATTTGTTTTGGGATTATAGTGCCAAGCCCTAGCCCACTTGCTATCAAATGACCAGAAAGCATGACACCACTAATCGTATGTGGCTTAGTCCGAACTCTTATCTTTAGCTATTGGCGCCATATATTCTCGTAAATCTTAGTCATAAACCCTTTAAAGAACACGAGGATTCTAGGAAGCCCAATCGTTTACTTTTAATCTAGTAAGTAAAGAGCTTGAAAGTGATTAAAAGTCAGTAACAATCAATTGATCTAATCTGATATTAGGGCACTTGAGCTAAAGGTTCTTGAACTACTTATAAAGATTGATTGGTACTTTCGTGGATATTGTAAAGCATTGTCAATACCTATAGGGTTAATTGATTTATTATATGCTATCATATAAAATTGAGTTGTTTGAGTTATATGATCCTAAGCTAAGCATTATTAAAGAAAGAAACTATTGGCTAAGCATTATGCGAGCTACAAAAATGTAAGTCAGACTATAGAAACTTCCCCTGTTTCATATTTGATCATACATTTTTTACAATTGATCTCACCTGGATATCTCTCCCTTGCTCTTGCTCTTGGCCAGACCCTCTTTGGCTTTTGAGATGAGGCCGGACATGTCGCCGACGAGGGCTCGATTCGCGGGATCCTGAGTGGGACTCATGGGCAGGTTGCTCAGCTTCTGGGTGAGATCCTTGACGGTGTGGTCCCGCTTTAGCTGCAGCAGCAGCTGCTTGTCCTCACTGTCCATATCTGTGACATATAGAACGATCATAAAGTTAAGCCCCTATTTATAAAATCTCAGCCCTCGAAAGTATGCAGCGGCAGGTGCGCAATGCAATGAGGATGTTTTGGCAGCGCTCGCAAGTATGCAACACACAGGTGAGACAGATGAGGGGTTAAGGTTAAGGTTAAGATCGAGACCCACCTGAAGGATCCACAGGATGCGGCAGCAGCTCTGGGTTAGTACTGGTTAGGGTTCGAACTGGAGGAGCTGCAGCTGGCGGACTGTTGTAGATGGGGGCGTGCCACCACCCTGGGGGCGGTGGTGGCGGCGGTGGCGGTGGAGGAGGCGGTGGTGGGGCTGTCTCCGGTTTCCCAACCGGACGCAGTGGCTCCGCCTCCGGCTGGACATCACATTTAACCGGGGTGGAACTCAGGGGAGCGGGCGTAAAGTCAAACCCAGAGGCATTCAGCGTTTTCTTGGGACTCAAAAGCACCTCCGGCGTGGGCTGAATGGGCTGATGGATCTGATTGATCTGATGGTTCTGATGGATCTGATGTTTCGGCGACTGGCTGTAGTAGTTGTTCAGCCGATTCGCCTCATTCTCGTACTTCTTATAGGCACTATCGGTTTGCTGGATATTCTTCATAATACCATTGATCACAGTTGAATTGCGTTCCCGAAATAGGTTCTTCTTCGTTAGGAACTCGCTCTGGTTATTGTTGCTCGCCTTATCGAAGCTGTTGTTTATGATGGAGATGCTGTGGCTGCCGGTGAGCAATTGTTTGCTAGGACTCATCAGCAGGAGACTGTTGTTGGGCGTGTCATTGCAGCTGAGGTTGCTCACATTGTTGTTGCTAATGTTGCTAAGGTTGCCGATGCCGCTGATGTTGTTGCACGGCGGCAACTCGTGTTGCAGCGACTCGGGCGGACTGTCGCCAACTTGGATGGTGGCGGGTATGGCGGTTACAATTTGCCCTGTTTATGGCATGAATGGTATTTTGTTTTTTTGGTTGTGGTTAGCATGATCAGCGGGTGAACAGCGGGACAATAATACACACAGTGATTAGCGTTTCGGTGGGAGAGAGAATCACAAGTTAGTTAGTCGCTCAAGTCAAAAGCAGCTTGTTTTAGTTAGGATGTTTGTTCCACAACTTACCCAGTCCTTCCCGCTGCTCCAGGGCGGCAAAGATCCCGTTGGCCGCCGCCTCCTGTTGCTCCTTCAGGAAGCTCTTGTGCCGCTCCGCCCGCTCTCTTCTTCTCCGAAGTCCCGGGGTCACGCCTGCTCCATCACGAGCTGAAGGGGTTAAGGGAAAGGTTAGGTCTTTGGCAGTATGACAGTTCTTGTAGCCAGCGCTATTTCATAGAAGTTAGTATCGTTTTGTGAACTTCTTTTACTGACATGATAATAATGTAATGATAATATGATAACATGCATGCATTGGACTTCCTTTAACTTTATTATTTTGTTTCCCATCTGAGCACTTACGTTTCTTTTCATTGAACAGTCCTCCACTAAATTCCGTAGAGTTGGTGGATCCCGAACTGTCCTCATCCACGGTGGCTTGGGTGGGGGTCATCCGAAGGACAGTGGTGGGCAGGACCTTTGTGAGAGGGGCTGGGCTATTATCTGTGCTGTGGCGACGCGATTTGCGTCTTTCGGTGGTGTTAGTCCCCGGACGATAGCGCTGCGTCTTACGCATTGAATTCTGCGGTAAGCGCTGGCCATCCGACTCACCATCCTCAAACCTGAATAATTAAATATTAAAGTGATCTTAAATCATCATTTGTGTATTTAGTAAACTCACTTCAGCACAGCCTCGTAGAGCTGCAGCTGATCGAGCAGATCCAAATCAGTGCCCGGCTTGGACATATATCGCTGAATCACAGTCTCCATGCCCTGCTGCTCTAGAAGATCACTCTCATCGTAGAAACTGTCCTGATCGTTAAGGCCCGCCAGGGTTTTGTTGATCAGCGAAGTGGCATAGATGACCAGCTCGGCATCGGCATTATCATAGTCCTTAAGCAGTCTAAGGAAAGGGATTAAAATATATTTAGCGTCCGCCCATCTCTAATAATCTTTCTATAGCTTCTTTCAGCCATCCCAAAAGTAGACTCTACCTCATTATATTCGACCAGGGCAGAGTGCCCTGGGAAGCGTCCACCGCGTGTATCGCACTGACCAGCACATAGCAGTTGGACTCGGCGTACTCCACGAAGACCAGCAACAGCTTGAGGGCGGTCTTCACCACGGATCGGTAATTGGAGGCAATCAGCGAGTAGAGCCACTGCATCGTCGGCTCATGCTTCATCACGCCATTCATTCCGTCCACATAGAGCATGACCTGCCGCCGCATCCAATGACATAAATAGCCAAGGGTTCGCAATGCATGATTGCAATCCATCTATGGATAGATTGATGTAGGACTCACCTGACCGAGGGCCCGCAGAATGTAATTCTGATAGTTTTGATCCGCACAATTGCCCACGCGCACCAGGCAATTTAGGCCGCCGAGGGCCACGAAGGCGTGCACCAGATCCTTATCCTCCTGGAACACCTGCTTCAGCGAGAAGAGGGCCCGCCGCAGGTCACTGCCCTCCGCGGACAGCAGTTTCTCTGCAAGTTCAAAATTAGTTGGTTGCACGAGGCGTATGCGCAATAATATTATCCTTCTCTTACCAATAATTGCGTGCACGCGCACATTTAACTGCGTTCGCACCACCAGGGAGTTCTTGCGGCTGTGGGTTAAAAATAAAAATAAGTATATTATTTACGGGACAGTGTACAGTTTGTTCCCATTCCGCACGATTTTAAAAAATAATATGTACTTTGGTGCTGCTAAAAACCTTTCAAATTTTATAGAAAGTAATATCAACAAGATAATCCAAAAATGAAGAACTTGATTTTGAGAAAAAGGGTTAATGTAAAAAACTATGATTTTAATGACTAAATGCTTCTTTTTTTCATAATCTTAAAATTTTAATAAAAATTGTAATCTAATTTAAATATTTAATAATTCTTCTTAAGAACATGTTTAAAGACCTTTAAGTAGTAAAAGCTTTTCTCTCTTCACACTCCTATAAAATGGAAGATAATAAACGCCGTGCTGTGAACCACTTTTCCCCACCTAAAGTGCCAAAACACAAAGATTAGGGCACAATGGGGAGCTGGCACCTCCCGCCCCGACTCCCGAGCAAGTCCAAGCCCGGTTCATTGACCAGCTAAGAACATTGATTACCCGCTTGTGCCTCACCCCGTTCCCAGCTGGTCATAATAAAAGTAATAACAAACGACGCAGATAATTGAAAATGGACTATGGGGCGGCTGGCAGTCAGGCAACCCGACACTGGGCTCACATACCATATACCATATATTCATTATAGACAAGAGGTGAGTGTCTGAGCCGCGAGTGTCCAAGACACACCTGTGTTGGTAACGCAACTCGTGTCTCTCCCTTTCTGCAGATTGACGGGCACCTTCTGCGGAATTCTGATGCGAATTGAAGCGCATGATTTGCATGCGAGCTTGCGCTGCCATGACTAATGCGATAAGCATGATTAGTGGCCATCGGACTGGGCCAGGTTCCCAGTTGCCAGTTGCCAGTTACCAGTTCCCATTCTGACCATTCTGGCTAGAAGGAAAACACTCCACTGCCTTTGGCGCCACACCACTCGTAAATAGAGTGGGGACGATTGTGCGCCGCAAAGTGGCGGCAATTTGCGCAGACGCGGCGACATTTACGTTATAATTTCAAAGACTGCACTTACGGCTTAGATGGCCGCTCCACTCCAAACCCGCCCCACTGATGACTGATGATCATGGATGCGGTGCAGATGAAGAAGTGAAAGTCAGAAATAGACCAGAAATCCATCCATTTCGCCGGCACAGGGTTAAGCAACTCCAGAACATTGACTTTGAACCTGGCTTGTATGGCCATCTTTGTTGCTCCCCTCACTTTGACACTTGTGCCCCGTCGCGTACATCATTTTTCTTTGTGCCCCAAGTTTTGTGGAGCTGCCTTAGCGCCTTCCCATGCCATGACATCACGTTCCTGGCCGCGAAAAATAAATAAAAACTAAGAAGTGGAGAAACAAGAACTAGAAACGACTATATGGTACTTTTAAAACCCTTACTGTAACGAATGTCAACCAAAAATAATCATTCTCCTCAACCTAAGGCCAAATCATTCTTATATATGATATTTCAACAGGTGTTATTTCAATAAAATACATTTAAAATATGTACCTATATTTATATTTTTAGAAAAGTTTTAAAACCACTGCTTGGTAATCAAACTATTATAGTTTTATTAGAATATTTCTAGATTTTAGACCATACTTCTAAAAGTCCCCAAAAACTTTGCTTGGAATGTTACTATTGTAGTATCTAGACCAATTTTATTAAAGTCCCCAATAACCCCACTCATCTAAGGGGTATTTAGATGTACTTATGCATAAGTAACATGCATGCCAGTTATGAGTAAAGAGCACAAAAAATGTAAATATAACAACTGCAGAGCTACGACAACGACGACTCAAAAGTGACGTGGCGAGCGTTTTTATTTTGTCTCTGGTTTTCTTTTTCTGCGGCTGTGCGCGGATTAAATGCAAATTAACTGCAGACTGCGGCGGCAACAAGTTGCACGTAGCAATGTCGTGGCATGCAAATGTCTTCAAAAACCCGGTGAGTGCCGGCCAGAGTGGCAGGCGGCTAAGCAGGTAACCAGCCAGGTAGGCAGATAGCCAACTCGGTTTCCTGTGCCACAGATAGCGACAGTTTTTTATGGCCCGGCCAAATAACTTTATTAGCGAGCGGAGATGGCGATACGATGCCAAGATGTCGAGATGCCGATGCAGGCGGACCGCCATGGCGTATGTGTAATATGTTGCATTTCGGTGAAAGGCTGACAGAGCCACCCACGATCGGCTGCCCCAATAACCCAAAGCGGATCGACTGACTCGGAGTTTCCTGATTGCCTTGGCCAACTAGAGATTACAAGGAGTGGCCTTATCAAGCTTCAAACTCCACATCTTAATCGATTATAATTAATCGAAGTCTTTCACTTTTGCTTAAAAACCACATAAATATTTAAATTACTTTAGGTGCTTACTCCTAAAAACATTTTTTAATTTGGTTATATCTTTGAAGGATAATCTTCCAAATATGTTTCTAAAATAATAGGTGAATCAAGAGATTATTTAGGCTACAACTTAATATTATTATTTAAATGTTTAAGATCTTCTTAAATCATACCGTATTGTAAATATTTAAATATTTTGATTACTAATAATAATTTTATGGAGACAAAATGGTGTTCAAATCTTTCCTAGCACTTTTAACAGTCTCCTATTCGCGGACAAAGTCGCGGTTGAGAAGCAAGTTTCTTATAAGCAAGCCATATCTTCCTTAATCGAACCGCATTTAATACTATCTATATCCCGGAATAGCTTTAAAATAGCCAAAATGTCAACAACGTTCCCGAAAATAGGAAAATGGGTTCAAGGTAAGCAGCAGCACCAGCACCAGCCCGAGTTGCAAAAGTGAAATCCCGTGACAAATGTTTGCGAGTGGGTGAAGTGCACCAGGTGTGCCCCAGCCCCATGTGGGCTAACAATTCTTTTCTGTCCAAGCTCATTAGCCGGCGTTTTGGGTGTCTGGTGTTGGCGTTGGAGGTGATCCCCCCAAATCATTATCTCCGGCACACTCACCTGACGTTGAGTCCCTCGATTTCCTCGCTCTGCTCGGCCAGCGATGATTCCAGATCCAGGTAGGCTCCGTAGTCGCCATCCTTGTACACCTGGATGGCCGCATCATCGATCTGCAAGAGGGAAGGGGGAAGAGGAGAGGCTTAGTTTCGCTGGCAATTATAATTAAAGTCTGGCTAAAAGTAAATGGCAACGCCGATCTCGCCACTACCGCACTACGCAGTAAAAGTTGTTTATGGTCTCGGCTCAAGAAAAGAGAAAGAAGCTGATGGAGCTGGAGATGGCGATGTAGTTTGAGGTTGAGCTTGAGCTGCAGTTGGGAGGTTGATGATAGAACGTTTTGGTGCACTTAAAGAAATTGTAATGTGTTTTATAACATTTCAAAGAAAAGGGATTCGGAAATTTTGTGTGAAAAAATACTTGGTGCTTACTTGTAATGTGTTCTATAATATTAACAATTTTAAGTAATTTATAATCAAGAATTATTAATTTAACTCGTGCTTTAAGCCTTTTATCTTTTCATTATAATTTTCAAATAGATATAAAACATTGGGTCGCGGGATAATATCTAAAACAAATATAAATAAAATATATATATAATAAGAAAATTTTTTATAAAAAGATAAATAAGCGTTTAATTTTCACGAATAACAATTTAATCAATTCTAACAATTAAATAATACAAAATGTTTTTTTTTTTTTTTAGCCTTAAGCTTCAGAAATATCTATCTTCCATTTTCAAAATAAGCATATTGTACAACTACTAGTGGTATTTCAATGCTAAAAAACTGCTCCCTTCGTTTTTCTCAGTGTGCAGTGACGGACGCTGCATTGAAAGTCCGCAGACGATTTCGTTTAGGCGCACATTGGGGCCGCCGGTTGATTGCTGGCCAAGACTAAGATGACGCGTCGTCGCCGGCTGGTCACCTACTTTTCTCTGCTTTCGGTTTTCGGCTTTCAGACTGAAAACTGTAGACTGCAGACTGCAGACTTCAGTTTTCCGTTTTCCAACCGCTGATTGATCAAGCTCCTGCTGCGTGTGCACAAATGCGCTGATTGACGGCGGTCGCAGACGTTGTTTTTGTTTTATTGGCGCATTGAAAGTAATTATTTCTGCATTTACAGAACAATTACCGGACAACATGGAATTATCTGTGTCGACGACGCTTGCTTAATGTGTGAAAAAATGTAAACAAAGCGATGGAGAAAAGGAGAAATACGGTCCGTCATCCGGGTGGAGGATTACACATACGCCCCATTGGACACGCCCTACCATTAGCAAAAAGAGCTAGTTGTGGTTTGGGCTTGGTAAGAGCCTTATGTCTGGCTTCTGACCAAGACACACCCTTAAAAAAGAGCTTCTCACATGTCCTGAGGGATTTTTTCCAGCCAAGAACATTTGCTAAATTAAAGTAGTGACCGCACATTGGTCAGTGACTCTTCTGAGAACTATTAAATAACTTTTCTATAAACACTTCAACGACATCATATATCTGATTAATTTATTACTGCATTGCACTGAATAAACACGAGCGATGACGACAAAACCATTTCAAGATTTCCTAGGTAAATGACTCGCCGACACTTCACTAAATAAAAAATATTTTCCAAAGTACCACGCTGTCTAGCGAGTCACGATTTCTTATCAAAAAGAGTGCTCTCGACTTTCCGTGCCAAATTCGCCTTGGGTCAAAACTTCCGCATGTTGATTCAGCATTTAGGCAGGGAAAAACTTTCTAGACCAAGTTGGTCCGTCATTTGGGTAAACAAAACTGAAAATTCACATTCAAATTATGTGTCAAATGCATGCTTAGTCGGTATTTATAAACCGCCTCTTTATGTAAGCCAACGGGCAATTAAAATCAAAGCAAACATTGGCCAAAACTAAATCCATTCCGGCTCACTTTTATGATTTATTTATATTTCTCCTCGTGGCTCACACTCGTATTCATTCATTCATTCACAGCTCTATGCAAATTTGGTATCGGTGGCTTTTTTGATTTTTTTCTTTGGCTGAAGCATGACAAGATTTTTAATCAAAGTGATTTTTGCCAAACACATAAATGTGGCTATTGACACAGTTAAGGCGACGAGCATAAAATTCAACGAGGAGAAAATGTAAAAAAGCAAAACAAAATCTAGCGAAAAATCAAATTTGGTGGGGAGAAGAAATAAACATTTTCAAATTATTGACAGCTGGCTAAATGTCGTTGAAATAAAATATTGATGGACATGACAAATTCCAAATTAATTTTCATTAATTAATCACATTTTCACAACCAAAAGGGGAGTCAAACTGCACAGGAATTTTAATTGGATTGGCCAGTTAAATATATAAAACGTGTATATAATAATGAAGGTAATTTATAATCAATAATGACTGCCTGACACATTTTTTACTATCTATATCTACCAAAGTTTATAACTATTTAAAAAATGATCAACGTGTCATTTAGTTGATAGGATCAGGGGTCGCAAACAATCTAAAAATAATTCAACAAAGACCCATAAATGCCCGACCTTGTTTATTTGTGCTTATTCAGGTGACTAACACTCTTGCTTTCACATCAATCAAAGTTGATTGACCCTCAGCTGACCGCAAAGTCTGATGGACGGCTCTGCTAATTGAACTTAAAAACTTCAAAGAAGAGAGGACGTCTTGTGCGAATTATATTTGCAAATATACAGAGATGCGTAAGTGTCAACGTGGCTCAAATATTTGATCAACTTGGATAAATTGCAAAATGGATAGTGGAAAATTTCCTGGCTCAGTCAAGCGGATAAGCTGACCTAAACTAATTTGATTGGCTTTGAATTTAAGCATTGTCCGGTCGTGTGAATGACACATGTAAGTGACGCAATGCCCTCAACAAAACGATTACTACAATTAATTAAATTAGTTTTTTGTTACAATTATTTGCTGAACCACAAGAGCGTTTCAATTTGATTGCTGTGGCTTTTCACTTCAGCTTTTTTCTAAATACTTTTATCTGCCTTTGTTTGGTTTCAATTGATTGGAAGTTCACCCTATATGCTTATCTAATTCAATGAGAATTGTGTTTTTTATTTTTATTTTGCTGAGCTGCCCCAAGCAAAAGCAAAGCTACAAAAATAATTGGCAAAAAGAATACCATTCAAATGGAAATCAAAACAAAGTAAAGTTAAGCTTTCTTGTGGATTGTCGAATGGTATATGCTCTCTTTTTAAAATATACAATTTTAAATTATTTTTCAAACCAATAAACTATGGTCTTTTGATATGAGATATCATATAATAGGAACTGAAACTAAGGTGACTTAAACCTTATAAAAACCCTATTTTGGGTGACTTATTTTTGTCATAACTGATATAACCCGTAGAGCCATAAAAACTTATTGAGTCTCACATCGTTTTATTGGCCGGCAATGATTATTTATATTTTTAACTTGGTTGCTATTCAATCTGTTTGGCTCGCTGGCCTGATGTCTGATGTCATCGAAGACGTCGACGATTGGCATTGGAGATTAGTGATCGGCGCGGCGAAAATTTATGAATCTATTGTAATGCGCTAAATTTAACAAGTTGCAGGGGGGGCAGCAGTCCAGTTCTGTTCGCTGACTAATTGGACAAATGGCATTTACAGCTGCCACTGGTTTGTTCTGGGTCCTCCGGCCTGCCACATCTGCAACTGCCTGCCACATAAATCTGGCCTCGACGACAACATCCTGGTCTGGGTTAGCCGGGTAGAGAACTTCCTTTTGCGATTTGCTCATTAGAATTTATTGCCGCCGCTTGTCAAGATTTACGTATCCTTGCGGCTCCACCGACTCCCGACTCTCGACTCCCTACTTTCCACTCCCGACTGGATGACAGATGACAGGACAGGCAGGGAATGGGGCTGTTCGATGCTCCTTAGTGGCTCTTTGCCTTTTTGCAAATTAGTCAAAGTCAGGCCCAAACAATGGCAGGCTTAGATAATTGCTGGCTAGCTGACTAGCCGGCTAGCCGACTAGCTGGCCCTGGCTTTCACAATGCGCCCCGAGTAGATGCAGTTCTTCGCTCCAACTTCCTATTAGTTGCCACAGATTGTGCGATAGCAATAAGTTAGCCCAGCCCCGGGGCCAGCTCTTCCCCCAGTGGATCGAGTGTAGCCAGATCCCAGCTAAGCCCACCGAAGCCAAGCCCTCGTCAGATCCCAGAGCCTCCGGTTCCGAGCTGCATCTGCCATTGTCTTCTGGCTGGATTCTCCAAGGGAGAAGAGTAGAAGGTTCATTGCCTTGCAATGCATCATTTGTTCAAATCGCTTGGCACACAATAAAATATTGTAAAAGTACTATCTAGTATATAGCACAGCCAAGAACATGCTAAACACTTTGCTTTAATTTCCTGGAAACTTTTCCCCTTTATTATTGACCAATTACCATTTTTGCCGATTTCCGAAAACTTTCCATCTATTTGTTTTACTTGTGGCTTTTCCAACTCAACGCTCACTCAGCCGGCCGCAAATAAAACTTATTCCGTTTCAATTGACTTATTTCCTGCCCTTGCCAACCCCTTTGACCAATTTTTGGTTCTTTTTCCTCTCAGTTTTGTGGCAAAAGTTTAATCTTTGGCTTTTATGCGAAATTTTCTCAAATAAATCAATTGTGGATTCTGTTTACTTTTTCGTGTTTTTTGCCTGGGGAATGCCTCATTTTTGCTCGTGTTGAACGATTTGTGATTCTTTTATTGGTTTATTTGGTTGGAAATGTGGAAGCGATATAGAACGATAAATGCGTCTAAACACGCTATGCAAATTATTGTGTAGAGCCGCAAAAACGTCAGTGAAATATGTGAAATTTAAATTCTGCTTTTAGTTTAGCATTATAGCATTAAAATGTATAAAAGCGCTTTAAGCGAATTTTAAGAGTGGAAATATTTAATATTATACAAAGTAGAAAAAATAACAGATTTTACTTATATTAATAACTTATCAAATCAGAGTGCCAGTTAACATACTTTTTTAGCCAACTGTTAGCGGTTTGAGCTAATCAAAGTTGTATCAGTAGTTTGCTGATTGCCAAAAAGTTGTCGTCATGGCATAAAAATACATTTTTAATTTCGCAAAACCTTCAAAATCTTTGGAGAACATATA